CGATGCATGATGACATTCATGAGGAGTGCATTCGTATGTTCCAAGATCAACGTAGGGGATGTTGTCATGGATTGTCAAGTCGATGCGTTCTCCATTCTTCGTAATCATGAAAGGCATTTGGCCAGATGGCCATACAAAGGAGTATCCTTCTTCCATGCATCGTTTCCCAAGAGACATCACGGACGGAGTGTCGTCCAGTACATAGGCATGAGAGATCACATCAAAAGTTCCCAGGTCAATCTCTGCTTCCGTCTGAGTAGCAGTTGAACCGTTGGCTGTATGGAACATGATAGGATCACAAGTTCGCTGCTTCAAGTTCATCCTTTCGGCTTTCCTTGCAGAAATCAAATCGTGTCCGCTGCCAGAATCCAGGATGAATCTACGATCTTTGGCTTGTACTGGTAATGAAATGCACATTATGTTCTTGGACTTCATGAGGGAGTTTCCAACTTCGTGTTCAACAAGCTCTTCAATAAAAGTCAAGTCATCACGATCATTGTCCAGCTTGATCAACATGTCGAACTTGGGGCCAATAATGATTCTAACTTCATCAACAAAACGATGGAGTCCACATCTATCCATGATGATGGCCTTGGCCCGTGCTCGGACTGAACCGAGGGTGTTGTCGGACTTGGACTGATCGTCGGTCAACTCGTCAACCTTCCAGAAGACATACTGCTTGTTGGGGTCACGATACATACGTTTGGGTAGTCCCTCCTGGTAGTCCTCAATAGCAATCTCGTGCACCTCAGGTTCCAGATCAAATGAGATTCTGCGATCATCAGAAGACTTCTTTGCGCTGGCTATCCTCGGAGAGGTATAATCCATGGAATCTTCATTGTCGCTATCAAAGAAGGAATCAATGGTAATGGGAGTCGCTTTCTTCTTTGGCGTCTTCTTGCTGGTTCTCTCTGAGGATGCTGAAGGCGATTTGTCTGCATGTAGGAACTTACATTTGCTTCCAAACTTGCAGGTACCTTCTTGCCAATTCCAACATACCTTCTTTTTGGGTCCAGCTGAGGATGAACTTCCTCTACTTTTCCCTCTTGATGAATCTCGACTTCCGCTTCTGCCTTTCTTACCTTTCATCTTGGCATCATAGACCTTTTGAGAATGACTGTAAAGACATTTGTCACCTTTGTTGCATCCTCCTTTATTGAAGAAATAGTTACAGAAAATCTTCTTCTTGTCCACGGGTGAAGATGATCTTCCCTTCCCACCTTTGCCTTTCTTGTTGTTCTTGTCGGCATGGGACTTCGGAGAAGGTGTAGGAAGTACTGATGCAGCTTCACTCTTCGCTTTCGCCTTAGGACGTTTGGGAGGATCACTTGTAGACGATGCGGATGCTTCGTTCTCCTTCTTGGTTTTGACGGGAGCGGCAGGCTTGTCTGCATCTTCTAGGGCAGGTGTCGTCTTGTTGGAGGACAATGACAGTTTCACTGCACGTTCTCTATCTTTCAACAGTCGTTCTTGCTTCCCTCGTGCTATGTATCCCTTGATCATACCAGTTAGGTAAGCATAGGTCTTCTCAGGATGTCCTTCATCAAATGTTTTGTATCGATTGATATCGAAGGCCATAAGCTTTGAATGTTCAATCTTCCGGAACAATGTGTCACGCAGGGAATTGTTGGAGGGCAGATCATCATGTTTCATATTGTATACGATGTCAAGCCACTTGTTGTAGAATGCCTCAAGCTGATCATCTCCATAATAGTTGAACATATACAAATGATGGGCATTGTAGAGAACTTCAGTATGGTCAGGTGACTTGAAGCTAATCAGTATCATTGCAAATAGTTCTCGTCCCTTGATGAAGTCCCCACTTCTCCCATACAATTGGTTCTTCATGGACATATCATACTTCACTTGCATGGATTTGTCCCCAGCATTGTCAATGACTTTTCTCAAGGCATTGGAGAGCTTGGCATCAATGGATTGGAATCTTACATCAGGAGCTTTGGCCAGAGTCTCCAAGTCAGGTTGATCTGCAAGACACGGAGCAAGCCACGCTTTCCAATCTTCATAGTTTCGATCTCCACTTGCAACGCAAACTTCATGAACAACACTTCCCTTCCAGGATGAAAGTTCAGTGGTCTTAGGCCAGGGTTGGAGGCTGATCTTTTCGGCTTCTCTTAGAGATACGGATGACTTGGATCTATCCCTTTCGAGGTTCTCCAACTCCTTGACATTGGTGTTGTACTCGTTCCTGAGCTTCTCGAAGGCTTCAGCTTCTGCTCGGTATTCCTGCTCTTCATCATTGGCACGATCTTCAGCTTGAGAGAAATTGTTCTTGTAGTAATCTTTACGATCTTCCATCTTCTTCAACTCATCTTGAAGGTTTCGGATTTCATTGTTCTTCTCTTGCTTCATCTCGTCCAATTCTGCTTTCAGTTTAGCACACTTCTCTTCACATTCATTCCGAGGCATAGCATTACTGGGGTACCCATGTAATGTAGTCGGTCTATTCATTGATGAATAAGAATGAGCTTGGTTTTCCAACTTCAGGGCAGCAATGGTGCTCGACATCTCTTCTACCTCAGCGAAACGCTCATTGGCCAATTGATGCATCTCAGTCAAGTGGCTTTCAGGAATGGAATAGTCAGTCGCACCTTTGATCACGAGTCTTCTGTCGTTCAACATCTTGATGGACTTACCTGCATCCCTGTGAGCACGCTCAAGAGAATCTTTTTGGGCTTCAAGTTCAGTATGAAGGCGAGCAATAGCTGTATCCCTGTCGTTGAGTTCATTGTGCAAACTGTCAAACAAGTCACTCGTCACATTCGGATTGTTGCTCATGTGATCGATCTTGTTCAGAGCATCTTGATACTTCTTACCAGTTTCATCAAAGTTTCGCTGGAAGACTTTGAGCAGGTCCTCAGTGTCATTGAGTTCAGATTTGTTCTGCAAGTACAACTTGTCAACTTCAGCCTTGGATTCCTTCAAGCTGTCACGCTCACGCACGGCTTGCATGTACATTTCGTATAGAGGTCCTCCATGCGGTGATCTGCTTGGTGAAGATCTTCTGGCTTGTTGACAAGAAAGTTCATGATACTGATTCTTCGATTCAGTCAGTTGTTGTTGCATTCGATCTAATAGACTTTGTTTCATGTGTAGTTCAGAACGTAGTCCCATTATCCTCATGTCCCGCATGCCGCCTGATTCAGCTAGAGACTCTTCAGAAATCCTGTTCTCAGAAATCGCTAGTCGAGATTGTAAGTTCTCATTGTGGATCACCTGCAATCGAAGTTGTGATTCTTCCAAAGCTAAGTGATGTTCACATTCTGCATAACGGTCATGTTCAGATCTTATGTTACTACGGAACTCCTTCATGATCTCGTCCCTCTTCATGTCAGCAGCATCGAGCTCAGTTTCCAGTCGTCTGACATTCATGGCCATGGTGTGCTTCATCGTCTGGTTCTGATTGGCAATCTCGAGCATTTCGATCTGTAAAGCACATGTTTGGTCATTAGCATAGCCGACTGCTAGAGCTTCTTGCTTGGCATTCATCTCTGCGTTTTCCAGTTCCAGTCTGAGTTGACTGATGTGGGCATTCGCGTCAGTTCCCACATGTACCATAATTGCGTTTGCCTGTCCCATTTGTTCATCGAATTCCGAGCGTAGTCGTGAATATTTGAATTCCAAATGAGATGCAGCTTCATTCGACATGGTCTGATACCTTTCCAACTCTTCGATCCTGTAGGTCGCACCTTCATCTTCCTGTTGTGCAGCCTGTAACTCGAAGTTCAGCATCTGGAGTTGTTCGGTCATCGACATCATCTCTTGATGAGTGGTGCTTTCCAGGAAATTAAATTGTCGATAGGCGTATGCTGTCGTCTCGCTCAGTCTTGCCTGAAGTACAGATTCTTCTTCAGTGGCCCTTTCCAGTGATGTCTTGTATTCAGATAACTCACTCTGATAGGCAGTGAAGATGTCGCTACCACTTGACGGGGCGTTCACTTGCTGATAAGATCCCGTCCCTGATGGAGTAGCGTCCTGAATCGGTGAAGGCGGATTCGAAGACGTAGTCTTTGCCTTAGTCCTTGGAGTCATCGGAGGCGACGATTGTCGTGCAGATGATCTTCTCTTTCCCGGTGTGCTGTCCCTATCTTCAATTGCTTGCATTGTCGAAATTTGTCTCCCTCTAGGAGCAACCAGATGTCGCCTGGGTTGGCTTGTTCTCAATTCTGAGGCATCGCTTCCACCAGTGTCGATACTCTGTGAAGAATTTGACTGCGTGCCGGCAGCTGGTGCAACGGCATGTCCAGAGAAAGAAAATGCGTTATCACTGCTATCCTGTTCAGTCATCTGTAAGGCCCGCGGCTACCCGCTCGTAGGCTCCGTAGGAGTCCTACGGCTGATAACCTGTGAACCGAAGGTTATTTCTCCGATTATGTTCGTTGGGGTATTGTAGAAGATGATTCCCTTCAGCAATGACGTCAACAGAAGTGCAATTTCGGCATGGCGTTCTTTTCTACTGGAGCTTGCAGGGGGTCTTGAGCCAAAGGAGCGATGGATTTCGATCCTTGGCCCACAGGAACTTAAGGTATACTGTACATGGGATTATGTTACGTGCTGTGGTCTACATCCCATTCGCATATATATATATATTATATACATCTGCACATATGGGTATATATGATGTATTATATATAATATAATATATATATATATATATTATATTATATTATATTATATTGTATTATATTATAGTCTATTCTATTCTATTCTATTATATTGTATTATATTAGATTACAATATATTTTATTATATTATATCATATTATATTATATCATATTATATTATATTATATTGTATTATAGTAGATTACATTATATTATATATGTTATACATATATTATTTATATTATATATTGTATAATATCTATCTATCTATATATATATATATTCATGTTTGTTGACCAATCCCCCATAGAATCATCAACAGGGGTCTAAATCCTTCCTTTGGCTCGCGCTGTTCCCCAGCTTCAGAGTTTCCCAGGCCTCGTCACGGTATTCGTCTCCAAGGCTTTTTTGGTCTTTGCGCATTTCACCTGTGAAATTCGGTGAAGCTACTTGGCGTAGGTATACCACCAACCAGAAAATATAGGAAACAAGGATCAAACTATGGTTACGAATGATTAGTGAATCATTGATCCCATCTAATCATTAATCTGGTAACAATTAGCTAATCCCATTCATCCGTAATCGGAGGTTTCCAAAGTCATGGGGCTACCCCAATAGCCGGATGGTTTATTTCATGGAAAATCCAAAAATAAAACGGATGACTTATATAGAGGTACCTCCATTTTAGGAAACCTCCACTTATATTCCCAACAATTCTCAAGGGTGGTTTGATGATCCCCTTCCAGTCCAAAAAATTGGTAGAGCATGTCATAAAGCCATGCCCGGAAAGCTACAAGAGTTCAGTGGGTGGCGACCGTACACCCCGGTTGACAACTGTGGGCATTCAACCTCAAATAAAAATTTGAAAAAGCGCTGAAGCATCTGCGAAGATATTTGAAACATCGAGGTGCCAAACCTTGTCTGCAAGGTGGAATGGACTGAATGGACCATCTTGGCTATGGAACCCATCTGAAGAATGGCAAGGAAATCGATTAATCTATTGGTTTCTCTATGAGCCATCCCGGATAGAAGCTGAAAGCCAGTCATTGACTGGGATAACCCTAAAACCTAAAGTACTTGCGAATGATCGAATGTGACCCAACAATAGGGGATAGAAATGGATAGAACATGATAGAATCATAGAGTTGAGACCATCCATGTTTTGTAGAAATGCGGTGCCTTTTTTGGGGACAAAAACAAACTGAAAACTGCCACGAAAACCGGCAGCTTCCATCACCTCGCGGCGCTTGGTGTGAGTCTCACTCACTTCTCCGGAACCGTCGGCTTTGGACACGTTCTTCTTGCGACTCGTCATCTCAGCGGCCGGAGGATTGGAAGAAAGGGCAGCAAGGATGGGCATGTGCAGGGAGCACCAAAGAGGTGAAACCAGGTGAAAGTGACGTGAGACCATGATCTTATGTGTTATTCTTATCTTAGTACCCTCTGGTTATGACTAACATAGCCATGGAAAATCACCATGCCATTAATAGGTAAACCATCTGTAAATGGGCCATGGCTTCCATGGCTATGTGAAATAACCAGAGGGTATATGTTACTTGGGAAAGAACAGGTACGAATCATCGAAACCACCAGCCCAAAACGAGGATATGAGCAACACAAATTGGGACTGATCAAAATGAAGGATTTCAGCATGACCAAAAAAGGTTGAAACAACAAGCACTGGTGTTTCTGTGCTACCAAGAATAGAGCTATACTTTTGCCAATTTGTGGGTCCCCAATGGCAGCCGGTATAAAGACCTTCAAAATTGTCACTTCAATATAAACTGCAGTGGACTTAAAGTGGATGTATCCCTGAAAAATATCTCTTCAACATATGCTGGTTGGTGGGTTCAACCCCTCTAAAAAATATGAAAGTCAGTTGGGATGATGAAATTCCCAATATGGAAAGTCAAAAAAATCATGTTCCAGAACCACCAACCAGTATGTTACTTTCTGGGATTCACCTGCAATTCAACTTTGATCGATTTATGGATTTTTTCACCAGTTGGATCCCTTGAGAAAAAAGGGCGCTACTCCAAGGGACTGAAGTCTTGCAAATGGCACCCTTCACAGTTTGCCTCAGCAGCTGGATGTCATGAAATGTCATGAAAGACAAAGATGTTTCCTGTCACAAAGATCTTCTCGGCTTGGGCTTTGGGAGGTGAAAGTTGAAAGTATACATATTTGGAACTGGTGCAATTCGATGATATTGACGCATCGCCCATTGAGATTTTGATTTTTGACCATGGTTAGATTTATTGTCATGAGGAGCCCTTTGTCTGTGGAAATTGGATCTGTCAAAGATATTTTGACCCTACGCAAAATAATGCCATCCCTTGCAACCTCTCCCCGTCTTTGTCAAGCTTAGCATGGTTGCTTCCAGACACACTTTTAGGAAAGAGTAAGAAAATGGAGCCAAGTCCAAGTTTGGAAGGAAAACAAAACAAATCTAAGTATGAGAATCTTGCTATTCCCAGCCAGGTCAATGGCACACATACAACTGCTAGGAACTCCTTTCTTCGATTGAAACAAAGCCCGGTCTGTAAGGGGCATCAGAAATGAAAAATGATCCATTAAGTTTGGAAAGGCTTGGGACCTCCCAGTTCCAAGCTGTGTTTTTAGCCCCAACTTCTTCCTAGTCACATCTGGTCACCGAAAAAGCGACCTGGCGTTCTTTTCGAAAAGTTGCAATCTTCGGAGAAATAAACATGTCTACCCTCTGGTAATTTAACAGTTTGCTATTGAACATTGCCATAGAAATAGTGGATTTTCCCATTGAAAATGGTGATTTTCCAGTTCGCTATGTTAGTTTACCAGAGGGTAAACATCCGGGGAAAAAGGTATGTTGAGGACCCAAAAAAGGGCAGTTCGTTCGATGAATCCTCCCATTTTCGCCCAAGCGGCTTGCCGACCAAGCGCCGACCAGCAGGGGTGGGGACCAGGTCCGCCTCGGATACCAGAAGAAACATGGCATGTAGAGTTGGAAATATGTGGAAATATGACGTAAATATCATCTACAAATATCATCTGGAAATATCACGTAAATGTGGAAATATGACGGAAATATGGAAACATGTTCCTATTTTGAAAAAGGTGGTACTGTATAAAGCAAGTTACAGTAAGTACCCATTCATACCCATTGATGAACCCATTTCTACTGGTTGCAGCCATGCCAAGGGATTGGTTTAAGGGAAAAGTTACAGTAAGTGCCCATTGCCAAATATCAAATATATCCCCCGAGAACATCTATATGTATTGTATTGGATCTCATGGTTGAGCATCAAGTGCGCCATTGAGTGGTTATTTGATGTTTTTTGTTTGTGCCCCCGATTGAGACAAACCCGGTTTATGATTCATTGGTTAAATCTCTATTTGTTTGATGGTCAACTTCTCATCTAGTCAAAATCTCCATTTGGGCTGGTGGTTTTCAAGTCAATATGGACATCCCATGAGAATCCCCACATTGCTGAAATCCCCATCTGCGGATTGAATTATCAACTAGTACCCAATCAACCATCCGCTGAATCCGTTGTATCCCCATCCGTGCTGACTGAAAATTGATTCATCAAGGAATATCAATCAGCATCATAAATCAGGCATACCATGTGATACCCCCATCATTGATCACTTAAATCTATTAATTATCACGATCATCATGGTACATAAAATTGTCTCATTAAATAAAAAAAACACAAGTTTCCGCTAGAAATCCCAAGTCTTCCACTAAAATCCATCAAAATCCGCCACAGTCCCCAATTTTTCCCACGAAAATCCCCCATTTTTCCCTGCAGATTGTGACCTCAACCCCCTGCGGACCCATAGCCAGCCCCGCCTGCGGCAGCACCATGAGCTCTGCGCGTGGTGTCGGTGTCGGGGTCACGGTGACCTCTGCCTCCAGGGTTTTCTTCAGAGCCTGGCTGAAGCTGTTTGGAAACGAGGAATTTAAACTCGCGAACAACTTCTTCGTTAAACTAACAACTAACAACTAAGACTAGTCCTTGCTAGTTGTTAGTTCTTGTTAGTTGTTAGTGTGGCATTAGGACTAGGAATAAGTCTAATAACCACCTAACAAGAACTTTCAGTAACATCGCTTTTTGTTGATGGTGAAATCCCCATTTTCTATGGTTAGATCCCCATGTTTGTATGGCGAAGTCCAAAGATTAGGATTCGGAATAAGTCTAACAAGTAACTAACAATAATTAATCTTATCTGGACCTGGGATTAAGCAGTTGAATCTTGTTTGTACGTTATAATCAAGTGACAAATAACTAAGATTAGCAGAGATTAGTAGCTTATTTCTTGTTTGGTATTGTGTGATTGTACTTGAATTCTTTGCAGATTCGGAATAGGAAGTCGGGTTTGAACCAAATTATCAAACAACCATGGATACTCAATGTTAATCTTTAAATGCGACTAGATGAATGTAAAAGTTAAACAGAACCAATGTTTCAACTAATATACATGTATAATATATATATATATGTATATTCATCTGAGTATTAGTGCTATGTGGTTAAGAATAGGAAGTCAAATAGTTATAAGATGTCAGAAATTCCACTGGAGTACTTGGCATCACTTGACTCTTGTTTGGTTGGCTGAGATCTTCCACAATGTTTAATGTGGCTAAAAACAATCATAAAGCACCATTCGGGAATGGTTTTTACATGTTTTTACCACCTATCTATATTATTTATGATGATTTGGGGGAAGGTTTATGGCATTGTTTTAGCCACATTAATCATTCCATTAATCATCCCATAATCCCTATATAATCCCTATAGAATCTATATAAACCCTATATAATCCCTATAATCATCCCATTAATCATCCTATAATCCCTATAATCATCCTTTATAAGCAAACAACTTAAGTCATCAACCTTCCACGCCGCGTCCAAGGTGTTTCACCAGCAGGAAACGTCACAAAAAATGGCGCAGACCGTGGGAGCGACGGCAAGAAATCGAGGCAGCGAAGAAGACTTGGGGATATGGGGGTTGTTCAAAATTATGGTTCCCCAAAGTCTTTCAGTTCTAGAACGACTCCCATGTACTCGAATTTATGATATTTGTGACATATTTATGGCAAGACTCCCATATACATGGCCAATCTTAGATCCTCCAATATCCTCCTCATTCTGTGCGAAGTAAGTTTAGGCGACAAATTTATGACATTTATGATATATTATGATCTATTTATGGCAACAACAGCTATCAAAAAATACACGACCCATCCGGCTACCCATCCAATTTCACCAACAAAAATGGACCAGCCACTTACCCTCTGGAAAGCTAAGATAGCTATGGAAAATCACCATTTCAAATGGGTAAATCAACGAACTTTCTATGGCCATTTTCAAGTTCGCAAACTGTCACAGTCATTACCAGAGGCTACCTGATGTTTCAGCGACTTCGAAGCCAAGCCTTCTGCAAAGCCAAGTCATCATGCTGATCGAAGACCCATCCCTTCAGTTTTGGCTCCTGGTGTGGTTTCTGTGGGGTAACCAACTGCCACACCCGGGGTAACCCACTGCCACATCCTGGAAATGCGGAATTTCGACTGTTTCTTTTTAATGGACATTACCCTCTGGTAAACTAACAGTTTGCTATTGAAACTGGCCATTTATAGTGGATTTACCCACTAAGAATGGTGATTTTCCATAGTTATGTTAGTTTACCAGAGGGTAATTTTGGAAGAATTCCACGGTACTGATTCGTGTCTTTTTTCATTTCAACATGGAAAGACTGACTTTGCAGATGCTTCTTTTCACTTTGGATCTGGTTGCGGAAAATAAAATGTAGTGCCTGAATTCCTTTTCTGAACCCAACAAAGAATCGATAAACAGCCCTTCAAGGAATTGTTGTAGGCAAGAATGTCGAGTCATTCAAAATGTTTCACCAACGCCGACGTGAATTTCATCCGCAAAATATGGGTTGCCTTTAAAATGTGCGATGTGTGGCTCCTAGTTTTCTATTTCTTCTGAAAAAAAACATATGGTTGAATACCTCTGCCGGTCTCAGAATACTTAGCAGATTCTCACGCGTTCTACCCCAGAATCAGGGTTTACTGTCAACCCTCACCAGTCCCACGTAGCACCAGCTTCTCGCAGTCCCGTCTTCACGTAGAAAGTCTCCCCTGGAGGCGTTTTTCGGGGTGGCTTCATGGTCCTAACCATGTGATTTCATCCCCACCTTTTTATAGCTTTTACTATCGTTTCTGGGGGGTGGGTTATATTGGCTGGGATTAGTTCAGGAGAACCCCTTGTAACACATCAAACACAGAAATTTTCGTAGCCACGGAATGGTCCAAGCCACTTGCGGGACAGCTGTTGAAAAATCATCAAGAATGGCTGGCATCATCAAAATAACAACTCGCTAAACAGTATCTTCTAACATCAAGAACTGCGTTCCATGTGACCCAGTGCAAATTTGTGTGCATGTGCATCTATCTGGGCAAATTATAGTAATTCACTAAGCTGAAATGTTGGGCCATTTTGGGATGATTGCCCATATATAGACCATCATTCCAGGCTTTGGGAGAACAGTGAGGTGGTCCCGTTGCAGAATCCCGGCCTGTGACCAGCAGTCCAGTGCTGCCCCGTTGAATTACCAAATGAGCCTGCATGGTTCATGGGTCCCCTGATGCCCCCCCTTAGTTCCAATAAAATAGTGGGCTAACTAGGATGTATAGTGGAAGAAGTATCTATGTATATATATATATATGTATGTATATATAGTTGGATGGGATTGTAAAGCAACTTATAACTTGAAGGCCGAACCCTGTTTGTGAAAGAGACGCTTTTAATCCATGTCCATCCCAGAAAGTCAATCAACTTCAAGCTGGCTTCCAGTTCCTGGAAACCATGCAGGAGTGATTTTGAGGTTCCAGTTCCAGCACTTCAATTTCTGGGAAGTTTCAGTTTCAATATCCCATAGGATCCATGTATGGTATATATGCTAACATTGGGGGTATATTGGTGGTAAATGTGACCATATATACCATACATGGATCCTATGGGTATGTGCAAACATCTAGAAGTGAACTACGGATCAAGGTCTTTGGGCCTGAAGCCCATTGGTTGTTCCCCTAAAAAACAGGGTCAGGGGGGATGGCCCATCACCTGGTGTGATGGCCACTTGAGCAAACTTTTTGGTGAGTGATTTAAGTGATTTATATAGTTTCTCTGCATTTCACCAAACTATCCAAACTTCTCCAGCAATCAACAGGGGATTGACAGGGAAAAGCCGGTGAAAACTGCGGCCAGTTCACTGCTGGACCTTTTTTGCTCCTTTGCTTTCGCGCTTGGTAAACTGTGCCAGCGCGCATGCCCTAGCACACAGCCGGAGTTTGTCGCCAAAAGGTGAAAGTTAAGCGCGATTATGCACGGTTGCTCCAACAAAGCAGCCGGCATCGCTGCGTCAACAGATACCCGTGATCTCTGAAAAGAAAATGCCATCTGTTTGTTTTAGCCATTTATATCCATTCACTATGATTTATATACCTATAGCCGTATAGCCTATAGATATATGCTAAAGAACCATTGGCTAGAGAACACCAACAGCATCAATGTCCACACGGGCATCCAATCGATCAGAAAACACAATTCTTGCTTGGACCCGGTCCATGGCTAAGTCCTAAAACTTGGCGACATGTCAAACTTTCACAAAGTCAATGTGCGATGGGGCCCCAGTTCGTTAGCTAAGTTGGTCTATAACTATAATAACAATAGTGTATGATACTGATAAATACTTATAATTATATCTGGATGGGGATATAAACCAACTTGTAACTGGGGGGCGCCATCCTGATGTTGTATGAGCAAACATGTCAAGTTTTGGGACCCAACCCAACTTCAAATCAGGTACCTGAATGATGAGGTGTCTCAGTCGAAATCGACCAGAAACAGGCCAAACTTTCGACTCCTGTTTTAGGGACTGAAAGTTAGGGAACTCATTTGGGACCCACGAGTTCCGCAAGTTCGGCAAACATCAGAGATTGAGTGACAGCACAATGAAACTTGGGATTTCAGCCCTGCAAACTCTGAAAATCACCATCATCTTTCCAGCTGTGGATGGAACATTGAGCATGAGCGACTTGGTGCATGAAAACTCTCAATTTGTCGACCCCTTTATATGTAGCAATAATAGCAAAGCACCGGGCAAGCTACGTTTGGGAAATATTCATCCAACCCATTACATACTTGGATGATCATTGAAAATCGGCAATCGCAGGAACTCAGGCTTGACGAAGAGGACAGCAATAAATTTGGGAAGGTCCCATCGCTTACCACACGTTTGCAAACAAAATAATTATGTATGGCAAATTTGGCGCCGTATGGTTTATGTAAAGGAAAATGATGTATCTGCGCTATGTGACAACCTTCAAAGGGTGCGCATTGCTATTTGGGAAGGTCCCAGTGCGTATACCTCGTGTTCGTAAAATGTCCGAAAACCATGGCCGGAGTTGTTTTTTCTGTGCTGGCTTGTAAGTTGGAAGCCATTAAAATGCGATCATACATGGGATACATGAGGTATAACATGGCATGACCAAATTCAACCACATTTGAGGATTGCTGTTGGTCAACCTCCCCATTGTCGAACAAAACCTCCCCATCGTTAAAGCCGTGAAAGTCTGACTCTCATACAAAAGTAGATGATCATCCCAGAAGTATGGAGTTAGCTAATTAGAAACTGGTTTACATCCACCAATCTAGCAGGGTAATTATACAGTCAACTTAAAACCAATTCACTAATCCCATAGATGGGTCAACCATGAACATAACAAACACTTCAACATATTATCATGGCATATATATATATTATAAAGATTACACTGTTCCAACATGGCTAATTCCCATAAGGTCCTTAAGAAAAAACACATGTGATATACCCAGATGCTCCATGTATGGCATATTTACCTACAAAACTGGTCATTTTTTAGGGCAAATGTTGGTAAATATTCCAGCACCATGGAGCATATGGGATACTATATAAGCTGGTATTACAAAAAAAATGCTACCGAATCATGGCGCACTCCGCAGTTCAATCCCCCATGCCCTGGGCTCCTTAGGAGGCTGCCTCCACTTTGTCACTGTGGTAGCCGCTGGCAATCTTGGCATCCAGTTCCACCCGCATGCTGTCCTCGCCCCACGAAAGGGCCCATGGGTACCGGTCACTGGTGTGCTACATATTATCAGGACGTTACTAACCATTTATGCTAATGTCAGGAATCACGTACATGTATATTCGCAGTGCCAACCCAGTAGTTGGTTTTGGAAACCTGAGCTATCTATAGCTATCTATAGCTAGCTATAGCTATCTATAGCTAGCTATAGCTTATCTATAGCTTATCTATAGCTATCTATCATTCAGAAGATACCCGTTTTAACATGTCACCAAAAACATGTGGATTTTCGCCTGAAGCAGCGAATGGAGCAACCAGCGCAAAGTCGCCAAAAGTGACGGCTGGATGGATTTCGGTGATTCGACCCATGGGATGGTGATCGCCTAAAGCTTGCCATCGAAAGCCCAAAAGAAATGGCAAAATGCCATCTTCTCCAAAGACCCCTATCCAAACCACCCTGGCGAAATATCGAATCAAACTAATTTCTCATAACATTTTTGATAAGTTGGTTATTCCTTGACATCTCCCCACTCGTCTAAAATCACGATGATATTCATGGTGAAATCCAACTCACCAAGCATGACCATGACCAGATGGCAGGACCAGTAAGGCTGGCCTTGATGAAGTCATCCGGAAGATCCACACGCTTCATGACTTTGATCCCAGCACCGGTGATGGCTTCGTATTTCCTAGGGCTCTTTAAGGGGCTGAGCAAATGGGGTTTGAATTGGGAAATGGGAAATATGGGAAATATATGAGAAATCTGCTACTATGATAGATAGATAGACAGATAGATTTGATTAGATTGGATTAAATTGCATTGGATTAGATTCGATCAGATCAAATTAGATTAGATTAGAAAGATGGATAGGTGGATAGATATGGACAAATAGATCGATGAAATTATTCTGCATAGATTATTCTAGATAGTGGGAACATGGGATATATTTGTTTCATGGATGAATACAGTCCATAAGACCTGGAAAAATTCTACTAGACTATATCCATGAAGATATACCCTCTGGTAATTTAACATAACTATGGAACATCACCATTTTTAATGGGAAAATTCACTATAAATGGCCATTTTCAATAGCTATGTTAGTTTACCAGAGGGTAATTCAATCATGTCGAGCACACATTATGGACATGGCAAGTGTATAGATATATAAGTAAAAAATATAGAGGATAGAATGAGAGATGACAAGTAGTACGGATATAGAAAATATAAACAGATCAACACGATGGCAGCCTCTGCTAATATCCAGTCGTTTAATGTCCCAACGGAAGGATCCGTGGCAATCTACTGGAAATCATCGACAAGTGCAGCATTGTGTTCATTGCCAGGTCAACCTACTGCAAATGTGTTCAAAATATGTTCCCCCCATGTTACCCCCACAATTTTCCAGATGAATGCTAGCTTCCAAGGGCAACCTAAGCCTGTCTCAGATCTCGGAACCAGCAAAACAAGCTGGTCCTTTTTCGGATTCCCTGCAGTCCTTGATCGTCCCTTGAGACTCTTCTCTCAGAGTGACTAGTGACCAGTGGTTGGTGGATGTCCGAAAGCCAACAACTTTCCATGGACGTGGCGCTTGCGCCCATCCCAAGAAAAACCGCCGAGTCACTGCAAGCCTGAGTTCCAAATCCTTCTGGTCAAGTCTATCGTAATATGTCCCAAACCAGAAAATGCCACCAATGTCAGGTTCCCATCATATATCCTCATGATATTCCCCTTACAACTGAATGGTTTAATCCCAATGGTTTTCTTGGTTCAATCCCATGAAATCCCATTAAACCATTTGTTGTTGAGCCCATTTTTCTTGGATTTTTCTTGAGATTTTAAGCTCATGTTTCTTGTTTCAATCCCATTAATCCCATAGAAACAACCATAAACCTCCATTTTTCATGGCCCAAATCCCACTAAATCCCATTAAACCTCTATTTTTCATGGTTGTTTCAGCCCCAACAGAAAACGTCATTTGCGGTTCGATCGACCCGGCCGGCATGGCCCAAGGGATCCAAGGGGCTCGTTGCTCATGGAGCACAAGAGATCGATCCGCCGAACGCCCATCCAATTCCTCAGAGGATCTGAAGTGATTTGTTTATAATGTGGAAGGTTGATGACTTAAGTTTTTTTGCTTGTAAAGGATGATTAATGGGATTATATAGGGTTTATATAGGGTTTATATGTTTATATAACGTGATATAATAAATTGAAGGGTGACTATGGGATATATTAGGATATGTTATTGGGATATATTGGGATATAATACTGGTTGGTGGTTGACCTACCCCTCTGAAAAATATGACTTCGTGAGTTGGGATGATGAAATTCCCCATATATGGAAAAATACAATTCATGTTCCAAACCACCAACCAGTAATAAATTGAAGTAGCTGACTATGGGATATATTGGGATATATTGGGATATAGTTGTTTATATGTAGGTTACTAAGGGTTACAATAAAAAAACACTTCATAAAAAATATCACTCTTAGAACTTGATATTAATTCCTATGGGTTACATACAAAGGGATATAATAAATTTAAACCAAGAACGCGTTCCTAAAAGAAACCTGAATTTTCAAAAAGGAACCACATGTGTCCTAAACAACGGGATATAATTAACACCTAAATGCCTTGGATATAATGAACCATCCAACGATTTCTGAAATAGCGACATTAAAGAAAAAGACACCAAAAGAGAAACTGGTTGGTGGTATACCTACCCCTCTGAAAAATATGAGTTCGTCAGTTGGGATTACGAAATTCCCAATTCATGTTCCAAACCACCAACCAGTAAATTGAAGTAGCTGACTATGGGATATATTGGGATATATTGGGATATGATTCTTGTATTGGGATATAGTCTAGTTGTTTATTTGAAAACACACCAAAAGAGAAACCATGAAATTTGATCATCTAATCCTGGAGACATTCCGAAACCAGCTTCGTTTCGTGCTGCGGAACATCCAGGAATCGGATCCGTGGCTTAGTGCAGCCGAGTTTGAACTAGCTGCACTTAGTAAATGGGTTATAACCCATGGTTGTACATGGGTTTTGCAAATCTACTACATCTTGCTGTAGTTACAACTAGGGTTACCATCTGGTTATTTAACATAGCCATGGAAAATCACCATGCTATTAAGAACTGTAAACCATCTATTTCTATGGGCCATGGCTTCCATGGCGAACTGTTAGTCATAACCAGAGGGTTTCTCAGAAGGTGTTAGAACCATCGGATCCGATTCCTGGGACGAAAGACCCAGCTCTGATTTTTGTTGCCCAGAAACAAGGCATCGGGCATCATGGTCTGAAAGCGCGCGTCGCGGATTCCAGCAATGGCTTCGGTGTGGTGGAAGTACATGTCCTCAGAAAAGGGGTGTCCACCGGACGTTGTTCTACAGCACGGTTTTTCCAAGAAAAGTGGGGATGATGTGACAATGAAAAGAGGTGAAAAAGGACAATCTGATGGATTTAGAAGCAAGAAACTCATGTCTTAACAAGTCTTTGCTCAAGCGGCTCAACTTCTTCTGAAACACTACTCCAATTTCTTGGGGAAAAAGGAAATAAGGTGACCTGAAAACGAAACACTTTGTGGCGATCAGCATTTTTAAGAATGGAGATTCCAGCCGCAAAATGTCTTCAATTCTTCACCAACTCCATCTAACATCATCTAACTATGTCTGGTTGGTGGTTGACCTACCCCTCTGAAAAATATGACTTCGTCAGTTGGGATGATGAAATTCCCAATATATGAAAAAGTTAAATTCATGTTCCAAACCACCAACCAGATGTTGTCTATAACCAACCCAAAACAAACACACGTCCTACCTTTTGCATCTCCCAATTTGTTCCTCTCCGCCAAGTTTCTGGGCGATCACCACCGTCCTGGTTCACACGTGCGTTGTAAACCCGGAACTTGATCACTTCTCCCAGACCTCGGGCGCCAGGGGGGATGGTGAGGTAATAACATATAGGTACCTGTGGGTAAGGTTGCTAAGTTCAGTAAAGTGACTCTAAGTTCATTTGGTTGTTAAGTACTTTCCATTGTACAATATGATAATATGATCCATATTGCGGAAGTGTGTTCATCTATCAAGCGATATGGTGTTTCAAAGCATATATAATTATATATATATATATAATTGATGCTCCTTTCATTGTTTCTCTCCGGTGAGACTCGTTTTTTGAGGTTACCCATAAAATACCGCCATTCCTGATGCGCGGTTGGTGGTTGACCTACCCCTCTGAAAAAATATGACTTCGTCAGTTGGGATGATTATTCCCAATATATGGAAAAATAACATTCATGTTCCAAACCACCATTCCAGATACAGGATGGGGCCCCCAAGATAGCTAAGTTGGTTTATGAGTGGCTTCACAATGGTTTATGGTAGATATGACTATAGTTAATGGGGGTTATGATGGTGTACAAACCAACTTGTAACTGGGGGGCCCCATCCTGTACCCATGTAAAAGCTTTACTGTGGTCTCCAATAGCAGCTACCTCCAATTTTTGGATGGTGTAAATCCCATCCATTTCCAGTCACGGGGGAATCGCCAGACGGCTTGGGCCAGACTATTTACACATAAAAATCTCCACTGAAATCACCCTTGTGCTTGGGAAAATCAGGGAAAATCCCCATGAATTGCTGATTTGATTCTCATGATTTCCCATGTGCTCATATTGTTGGGCAAGTCCCCATCTCATTTTTTTGGTGGTAGAATGTCGAATTGCCATAGCAAACACCCTGGAAAGACTCGAATTTGCTTAAGGAACGCCCGGCAAAATCAACAAGATGTCCTATAGATTCACAAAGTCGTGGATTTCCCATTGGGAAAAACATGGAAAAAACATGGGAAAAAAAAACATGGAAAAACACATCATCATCATCATCAAATCCAAGGAAAAGCGACCAACGACCAACTACCCTAGCCAGTCCCGGGCCCGCCCTGCTCCGCGGCTCGCCGAAACACTTCGTCCCTCCTTGCGGAAGTAGATCACAATGCCCACACCACCTGCAGAGAGTTGAACTGGCAATCCATGGGATTCTTCCAAGCAAAATGGGATGTGAAATTGTCTGCAATAACATAGTTTAATCCATATGCCATATGATCACACTTTCTAACACTGTCTGGATTGGAAGTAATGATCCATAGTTCAATCCATAACACTGCAATGATCATATCCAACCAACACAATAGTCCCAAGTATCGGTCTTGAGTGTGATCATAAACTATAGGTAACTATACCAACAGTGATTTATTGACAATGGGTATGTAACTTATAACATCTTATAACCATCAGTGTGGCAAGCATCGGAGTATGGCTCACTGCTGGGAGCGCAGATCATCCGTTGGAGGTGAGCAACCCAGGGTGGATGCCCAAATTGGCAATGAAAAGGGTGGACTTTGCTACCCCAAAATAATCATCAACCAAGCATCATGTATCAATTATCTCCCCATATGATTGCTCAAACTCCTATACATGATGCTTAATTCCCAGTTAAAGGTGATTTTTCCATATGTTTCCCATGTGTTGCTTGGGATATGTGGGTGATTTCCCATTATTTTCCCATGCGGTTAGCTGTTCGGCTGTTCACCCACCTCTCTGCGCGCACTTCACAGCTTCCTCGATGGCAAACAGCAGATAGGGACGGCAGCTGCAAATGTCGCTGCCTCGGAGTGGCGTTTGGAGCTGAGACCGGGTGGAAAATGTCCTACTTGGAAGTGCAGTTCCAGTTAACCATACAAAAATAGGTATGAAATATCCCCACATATCCTAACGATTCCAGTTTTCTTAGTGGATGTATAATCATAGAATCATAGGGCTTATATCCCAACTGATGGGCGTCTATAACATGTTACAACCATGGCATTCCCCATGTTTTTGACCTCCCCAAGCCCTACCCTCAGCTGGATCCCGCCAGGAGACCGAAGACGTCCGAACCGATGCACTCGTCGTGGACGCGCACCGTCACCTGGTGGGAAACGACGTGTTTCTTTTGACCAAGGAGATAGCCCATAGGATCCATGTATGGTATATATATGACAACATTGGGGGTATATTGATGGTAAATGTTACCATATATAGCATACATGGATCCTATGGGTACTTCCGTGTTAATGACCCTGAAAATAGCCTAGTTTTAATGGAAACGAATCTTCCAACCCCGAAAATAGCCAGGGTCTATGTTAGTTAATTTACCAGATGGTAGTGATGTAACCAGCCAACAGGGCGCAGTCACCAACAGTCGTAGCAGAATTCATCACAGTGGTCTTATGAATTGACTCTCCATTGAATAGGGATATATGAATACCGTATACACTATACCACTGGCTCCTTTGAAACCAGCGGATAGATCAACACATTATAACACATTGAGATAATCTGGATTAATCAGTATAACACTAACACTAACACATTAAAAACACATTGAGATATCAATCAACACATTAATCAATATAACACTAACCCAGCTTTGCCCAGGATTTCACGCTCCATGCTGCCTCGGTCTTCTCATCCTTCAGCTTTCGAGCGTCACCAAAGGTGTAGATGGTTAAGCCCCCCACAGCAGGCAGATAGGTCTTCACTTTGGGATCCAACAAGCGGCTGTCCTTCGGATGACTGAAACCATGTTTTTTGGGGTGGGAATTTCCACATTCCATTGGGACCATACAACAGTGGTGTTTAATATTGGGGGGAGGGGATTATTTTAAAGGTGTTGCTTGAAATTTCTGTGTCCGCCCAATTTTTTGGGTTTGAACCCAAGCTCATTTACAAAGTCTGCAGTGTATCTCGGGCACCTTGAGCATTTATTAATTCACTGGGCCATCGCAATAAAAAAGACGGATCCTTTTTGGTGGATCGTCGAACTTCGGACTTTAATAAGAGCTGGAAAGTCTGTTCAAAAAAAGACGTCGAAGTTGTAAAGAGGAATCTGCACCACCTAGGTTGGAGATTCTTCCCAATCTCCAAGTATTCTGGGACTTTTCTGCACTTCTTGGCTGGCCAAGGCCCATGCTGGGGCCCCCTCCCCTGAGATCTGTATTGGATGGTATCTCAAGATGCAGATCCGAGTGGCGTAGGAATATTTGTACAAAGCCTGGCAGACAGGGCGTGCGATAACACCAGACCTACCGGCCATTGGACTTGGGACAATCACAGTCAAAAAATGATCAGGAGAAGTTTTGGAGTATTGTTCCAAAATAAAACGCTTGGAGTGGAATTGTGGATTTAGGTTGACCAAAGAGTCTACAAGTCTACATGTTTTGCGTCTTTGGGTTCCATGTTTGTTGCCTAAATGTTCCAGTGTGGATGGATTGAAAACTCTAGAAACCCACTTTTCATTGGCTAACAAAATCCATTTTCCAACCAATTCATGTAGGTTTGACACCCTGAGATAGCAACCTACTGTAAAAATGCCCTATTGTTATTGTTCCTGTTGAGGTAAACCCGACGCTGGACATCGGGAAACCGTCCGTCGCTGAACCAACCGCCGAACCCAACCCGTTCCGCCTGTCGCAATTCCTCCTCGCTCAGACCGACGCGTCCCGCCATGAGAGGGATGTTCCAGGCGTAGCTGATCGCACCTCAGATCCATGGCTTGGATCAAGGCTGAAGACGTAGCGGCTACTAATGCCACTTGGGAAGTGGGATGAAGTGGGTAATAAGCCAGATGTAAGCCATAGAATCTGTATTATATATGTGCCATATTATATATATAATGTATTTATGTATTTATTCAGTATAGTTACATATAATATTATATCAGTGAGGATATGTGTAACTGGGATATACTTGCTTATAACCTACAACATATACTCCACTTAGTTAGATGCACGTCCAAGTATAAGTGCCCAGTCTAACCTTAGGGCCTTCAGGGGTTGCTTGCATCCTGAGTCCTCAGGGCTCCCCTTCAGGGCTCTGAAGATAAGTTTTGTCCGATTTAGTTGTTGAGGTTATTCAACGGTTTGTCATGGAAACCATGGCCAATTTATAGATGATTTATAGATGATTTATAGATGATTTATAGATGATTTATGATGGTGTCCCTATTAAAAGGGGCTTGGGTTTAGGGTTTCTACCTTCTCATTGCAAGAGAGTCGCCACTTATGTCACTATGATCTGCTAGTCACAACCGACTTGCAAAAAGGTATTGGCATATTTACCCTCTGGCAAACATACATAGATAGCTATTGAAAATGGCCCAGTCGAAATAGTTGATTTACCCATTCAACATGGTGATTTTCCATGGGTTTTTTGTATGTTTACCATGTCGGGTAAGATCCCCCCAGCCATGAAGCCACTCAAAAGTGGCTAAACCGGGGCCCGATGTCGCAGGATACCAAGCTTGGCCATCGCTCGGAAATCTATGTCAGCTGGCAGGGTCGTGGCTACGTATCTGGGCCCAACTTCAACCCGAAGGCCCCAAGGCTAGGAGTGCCAGATACTCGCTATAAGTATAGTGTATACTAATGCACTGTAATGATTTCAGATGTTCTCAGGTGTGAATCGACACCAGCCATCCGAACAAACTGGTGAGGTCAAGCAGGCACGACTCATACCCTCCGCTAATCAAACATGGCAAGCTGGGAAATCGCCGATGAATGAGCATTTAAATGGGACAATCATCAAACTAAATGGCAGATTTTCAGCAAGTCGCTGATGACAAGAGGGTAGACTTTTTTTCAATGGGCAATCAGGGAATGGTAGAAATTAACAGAAATTACAGAAAAGGGCAGCATCGAAATATCTTCTCCATGGATGTTCTATCGTTTTCCCGAGCTGAGATTTTCCCCAGAGCTTTCTTCCCGCTGATGTCACTATGCATTTCGAAGCACATTTGGAGGTGACAATCTCATTGGACGGCAACACGATCTGCCCATCTGGAACCAGTCCCTGGGTCGGAGCTGGTGGTTTTACCCCTCATCAGTTCTTGATCCCTTCTATGAAATATCCCCTAGGAGCCTCGCTGGTTGGTGGTTTTCCTACCACTCTGAAAAATGATGGAGTTCGTCAGTTGGGATCATGACATTCCCAACATATGGAAAGTCATAAAATTCCATGGTTCCAAACCACCAACCAGCTCGTTTATGATTGGATATATTCATTTTTGGCCCAACGATGGGGGATGGGATTCCCTGAAGTCTTTGAATCTGCTGCTAGCATCAGCGATGTCCTGGCGATTGGATGTTCGTAATCGCCAATTGATTAAAAAATACCCTCTGGTAATTTAACATAGCTATTGAAAATCACAATTTTTAATGGGAAAATTCACTATAAATGGTGATTTTCCATAGTTATGTTAAATTACCAGAGGGTATCACAAACACCCATGTTTCACAAAACATGTTAAACAATGTACTTGATTCAAGGTCCATGAAAACTCCTAAAAAGGAACAAGTCGTTGGGTATGTGTTGTTTTGGCCTTAGCATATTGCAATATCTAGATTCCAATGACTGGCTTGATCTGACGGAAATTGTTGCTTAGTTATTTGGTTTGCCACATCATTCATCAAGAATTCAGACTATTCAACATGTTTCATGGTTTATGATGTTGGACTGTTGGAACCAATTGATCATAATCTGTTTCAATTTTGGCTATCCCATGTTTCTCCCACTTTTTCTATGGATCAACCCACCTTGGGGTCCCACGTCGCACCTTGAGTTCTGGAATGTCCAGCTTGGCTTTGCATGCCGCGATGGTGGGAGGATGCGCCGTCATGCCCAAGGGGTCAAAGGTGCTGATGCGATCCCAGTCCCCTAGGAGAGTTCATGGGGATTTCGTGGGGATGCCATGAAAAATCATGAACTGGTTGGTGGTTGAGCCACCCCTCTGAAAAATATGACTTCGTCAGTTGGGATGATGACATTCCCATATATGGAAAAATAAAAAATGTTCCAAACCACCAATCAGTGAATTTCTTGCGGATTAAGTGGGATGAAACCAATCTATGGCGATATCATTGGGATTTGATGGATATCACCAGCAAATAGCCATATATGATTGGATATAGCCAACCTTACACACGGGTTTGCCCGCAAATTGGAGGATGCCTCAAAACTGCCCTTTTCATGCGAAAGTTTAAAACCATCGGGCGTTGAAGCTTTACCACGATTTTCAGACAAACAGCTGATGCCAGATACTAAACCCAATTCGTTTAATATTACCCTCTAATAATCAAACATAGCAATCGAAAATCCCCCATTTATGGATCATATTTCCATGGAAAGCACCATTGATAGGGAATTGTCCGTTGCTACGTATGTTTGATTACCAGAGGGTACCATTTGCCTTCCTTAGACGTCCTGCAAAACTTGTAAAAGCGTTTTGGCTGTCTATGAGGTAGGCAACCCCGCAGCTTAGCTTTGCAAAAATGAGGATTGAAACTGGCAAAATGACCAAGACACCTTGGGATTTACCGGATATATTTGCCAATTTTAAGGCCGAGTTCAAGGGGATGTATTGGTGAAATTTGGTTCATGGGGATCTGGTTTCTGCCTGGTCAGACTGATGATAGGCCAAGTTTCAGGGTATGAACCATTCCGCCATTTACAGCTGGACATGCTATAACCGTTATAACCTACTGAAGATTACTCAAGGTTTACCGCAATTGTGAGTTGCCCCCACAGAGGGGACTGTGGTTGAAGGTATTCTGGCTGTAACCTTTGACCAAAAATACGGAAGTGTGTTGGGATAAGGATTGGGAACCGGACAGAGTTGGGTAAACATGCGCTGAATTGTGGATGATAATTTGAAACCATCCCAAAAGGCAAAATCAGCAGCCATCGGGGTGCATGGGCCAGTATTTGAAAACACAAACACTACAAGGTGGTGCCCCCGACATAGCTAAGTTTGTTTATAACTCCAATAACTATGGTTTATAGGTGATATATCTATAGTTAATGGGATTTATAAACCAATTTATAACTAGGGGGGCACCACCTTGTAGCTGTCAACTCCTACAGTAACTACCCCCCCAAGTCGATTTCTCTGAAATTGTGGTACCCGCATATCCACAGATTCATCATCCTGTTCCCAAGTAAAACTGCTATGTTGAAGGTATATTAATTACCACATTTTCAGAGACCCAAATCCTACATCCCATCCATATCCTCATTATATCCACTGTTCCGGCTGGTTACACCATGTTTTCTTGGTAAACTCCCATGAAGTCGCGTAAGTTTTCATGCAAAAAAAACCTTTTGTTCTGTTGGTTCACTCCCATTGAATCCCAATTCTTTGTTGTGTAAGTCTCATTAAAATCATTAATTAAACTTCATTAAAAAAACAAACACACACACACACTTTTGGGATGGTTACATCAGTTACATCCCATATTTTTCATATGTCATATGTCAAGGTCATGTAACTGGCCATCCCCAGGCCCCATCTTTTCTCCGGGCGACTGTGCGTCTGGGGATCATCGATGAGCTCCTTGAATTCTGGCAAGTAGAACTCGGCCTAAAATTTTGGCCGAGGCTGTCATGGGGGGAACGGGGGAACCATCGTATGTGATGCATTTACTAGTAACTAACGATACAACAAGTTATATAAGTTATATCAATGGGAATTTCAGGATCCTAAAATGGAGGTACTGTACCATATAAGGCCATATGTTATGGGGATGTTCCCTTACATAGGCCTTACATAGGCCTTATATATGGTAGGTACCTCCAATTTAGGATCCTGGAATGGCCATTGATTATATCCCTATACATATATATATATATGTATGTGTGTGTACCTTATTACTAACTATATATATAGTATACTTGGAGATGTAAATAAAAACCCTTCTCTGTATAATGTATAATATATATATATGATCCGAACCCCTGAAAGTCTTCAATGAGTCTGACTTGTGATGGTTTGGAAACCATCCGGAAATTGCTTATCCAATTTGACCCACATGGACAGCACTAAATACTATATAAACATAATTTGTTTGGAAAGTCCCAGTCGCACTGGGTTGAGAAAACAAAATATATGGCATGATACTGGAAATTTCACTTTGGATCATAGTGGTTTCTTCCCCGTAAGTATGGCTACCCGCAGCTTTGCGCCAAGCCTGAACGCCTTCCATCCGTTTTTGAGGCTACATAAATTCTCCAGCAATGATCCAGAACCCTTCATACCCCGAGACTGATCTATTGTTGGCTAGGTATCAAATATTCCTTTGCCAAGCAATTTTCAGTCACAATTTGCCAGTGAATCTGATCGGGTACTTGCCGTTAAAGCCCCACCGTCCCATAGATGTGTCGATTAAACCCCACTGTCTCGCTGAATTTGCACAAAATCATTGGTTTAAACCCCTACAACACAAAACCCCCAAACCCATTCACCGGTGTTTCCTAACATGGGGGGCAGCCCACAAATGATCCAAAATGTCATGTATTGAAACGACCCTAAATTATCCATTGGGTTTAGGGATTTACTGAATCTATGTTCAACTAAGGATTCCCCCCCACAAAAAAATAAATTACTTTGCTTCGTGTGATCCCCACCATGACATTTATACATTTTCTTATTGGCAAATCTTCTGGCATTCTATCTGACATATCTTCTGACATTCTATTTGGCATTCTATCTGGCATATCTTCTGGCATTCTATCTGGCATATCTTCTGGCATATCTTCTGGCATATATTCTGGCATATCTTCTGGCATTCTATCTGGCATTCTATCTGGCATTCTATCTGGCATATCTTCTGGAATATCTTCTGGCATATCTATCTGGCATATCTTCTGGCATATTTTCTGGCATTCTATCTGGCAAATCTTCTGGCATTCTATCTGGCATATCTATCTGGCATATCTTCTGGCATATCTATCTGGCATTCTATCTGGCATATCTTCTGGCATATATTCTGACATATCTTCTGGCATTCTATCTGACATATCTTCTGGCATATATTCTGACATATCTTCTGGCATTCTATCTGGCATTCTATCTGGCATATCTTCTGGCATATCTTCTGGCATTCTTTCTGATTCTATCTTCTTTCTAATTAACTTTCTTCTGCACATTCTTTGTCCCATATCTTCCTACATGAGGTCCGGCAGGGAACACTTGGCATGGATACTCGCAGATGAGGTCCGGCAGGGAACACTGGGCGTGGCTGGTCGTGGTTGAGGTCCGGCAGGGAACACTGGGCGTGGCTGGTCGTGGTTGAGGTCCGGCAGGGAACACTGGGCGTGGATGGTCGTGGTTGAGGTCCGGCAGCGAACACTGTGGATCGCGGGTCGCAGTTGGACGAGGACGACGAGGACGACGAGGACGACGAGGACGACGAGGACGACAAGGACGACAAGGATGACAAGGAGGACGAGGCAGGAGGAGGCGGAGGAGGAGGAGGAGCAGGAGGAGGAGGAGGAGCAGGAGGAGCAGGAGGAGGCAACTGACATAAAATCTAACAACCCTCACCTGGCAGGTGGGGAAAAATCAAACAGAAAAAATCACCCTAACCATAGATTTCTTCACAAAATCATGTGTTTCGTCCGGAAACTCGGCACAGTTCTGGCTTCAATCCACCATTTTGCAGCTAAAGTCCATTCAATTCATGAAATGGCCGAATATTCATGACTATTCGGACAATTCTCTCTGAAGACGTGTGAATTTTGTGCAGTTCCACCAACATTTGGAGGTTTCCTAAAATGGGAGGTACCCCTAAATCATTCTTTTAAACGTATTTTTTTATAGGATTTTCCATGGATTTTCCATGATAAATCATCCCGCTCTTGGATCAATGGCCATTTCAGGATCCTAGAGTGGAGGTACCTACCATATATAAGGCCTATGCAAGGCCTACCACATTTTAGGATCCTGAAATTCCCATTGATTGGAGAAGCCTCATGGAAACCCAACGGCGCTTCCAACCTGCCGTGGCGCCTCGGTGCGCGTCTTGTACCACTCCTTGAGGTCCACCCCTGCCTTCGCCTCCGCAATGCCCCAGTAGGCCGCATGGTCCCAGCCATAGTTTCCGGCGTAGAGACCTGGCACAACGAGGCGGGCCATTGGGCGATGCCAAGGGGTGGTTGTTGGGCAAAGATGTTGAAAAACCAGGGTGGTTCCTGATTTCTGTGCGATCAAATCATGGAAACATCAATAAATATGAGGATCCGACACGATTTCGAGATGAACACATGGGAGATTATCGAGAAAAAGTAAGGTGTATACTAAAATTGATGATCCAAGCTAACCAACTTCGGGTAGAACTCGATACCACCAGCAGAAACGCGAAAAAGACCCATGAAAACTGGCAAGTTGAACCAGGTGGTGTAACCACCGGGTGTTTAGAAAACTTCAGCTGATCCTTTGTAAACCAGATGGTATCAGCTGTAATCCCATCCCAGCACTAAGAAATTCCATGGTTTTTCCTACAAAAATAAAACCACATCTGACTGGGACCATGGATTGGGGATTCGTTGTGGATCCGGTGGATCAATGAACTGCCTGCTTCAAGGTCGTTGTGGACGTCCCTCCAGTTGTATCCTTGGAAGAAATGGCTGAGAACCAGAAAAAAAATGCTACCTGTGCCGCTACCTGTGCCGTTGTCAACACATTGTCAAAGTCGTCTTCAATTGATCATCCCCTACTGCACGGAAAGAATCTTAGTTTTGGATAGAAAAATGGCATCATCTTAACGTCAGCCTTGAGGCGCAAGAGCTACTTCATGATCTCAAGATCTCATGAAACGATGTGGCCACAGGGGCTAGATGTCGCAGAAGGCAACATGCAGTGCACAATCACATCTCCATGGCCAGGATATGTACCTGATCAAAATTCATGTATGTGTCAATGTTGATATAATTTCATCATATTTCATTGCACCAGTTTTTATGCATCCATATTACAGGGTGAGGCTCCACGATATAAGCCAGCTTATAATTCCAGTAACTACAGTCATATCCGCCATAAACCCTAGTTAACCAAATTATGTGCGTCAACTTAGCTATCATTTGAGGGGGCCTCACTTGGTATGTATATATAATATGTATTAATAGTATTACCCTCTGGTTATTTAACGTAGCCATGGAAAATCACCATTTTTAATAGGTCAACCATCATTCTATAAATGGGCCATGGCTTCCATGGCTATGTTAAATAACCAGAGGGTAATATATTCATATGTAGTATACTATCATGGGATTCTATATAATGTTCTTGTTGGGGGATCTAGTGGGATCCTATCCCTTGCCTTCATATTCCCTTTGTCCAACTTCTGCCCAGTGTCCCGTGGCGGGATCGTTGCGGCACGGCACGAGACTCAGACTTTGAGGCCTACGGCAGTCTCAACGAGCAACAGAGCTATGGCGCTCGGGGACAGGGGTTGAGCGATGGGAAATCCATCATGTTTAGCCTCTGGTCATTTCAAATAGCTATGGAAAAGGGCCCTTATATAGATGGTTTATACTATGATTTACCTCTTAAGAATGGTGATTTTCTATGGCTATGTCAAATTACTAGAAGGTATTCTTCATAATATGGTCATTGTGGTATACTTGGGATACAATGGGCATCTTACGGGATATGAACCAACTGATGAATTCTTGCAGATCCCATTTTCTGGGAAACTCAAACCATGGACCACGGCATTGATCTCAATTGAGCCTTGGGAGAACCATCTCTCCCCGAATTTTCGGATCACGATCCCACTTTTTCAGTGGCTGAAATCCCCACTTTACCCAGCGCCTCACGCAGCAGTCGCAGCTTCTGCTGCTAGGGTGTCTGCCTCAGGGTACGGCTGGGTACGGCTGGGTACGGCTGGGTGTGCAGCCCAGTGGTGCGTGGGTAGTAACCATATCCCAGATGCTCCATGTATGGCACATTTACATATATTTACCTACAAAACTGGTCATTTTTTTTAGGGCAAATGTTGGTAAATATTGGTAAATATTCCAGCACCATGGTTCGCATATGGGTATTGGTATGGGTCAACACTGGGTAATTCCGTTTCCACTACCCAATTAGATGGTTCATACGAGCGAAAAAAATCGGGCCGGGTCTTAGATCTTGACCCATATATGAAACACCGCGAGGCTATAACCATGGACTATCCCAGTTGGGGGTAACAAAAACCACCGACTCTGGGACGCACACCCAAATATGGCTGTGATTAGCAAGATATATTGAAAGTTTTATGCAATACCCATAGTAATCATTCGTATTGGTAACAATCCCGTTGCACCATCAAGATTAATATGGTGCTATGGAGGAATTTGGTGAGGAATTTGGTGAGTCCATTGGAACCCCAATGGCCATGGCCATAGCTATAAAGTAGTCATTGATAGATAGTTTTCCACCTCAGAATTGGTCTTTTAGTCTTCCACACCAGCTATGTTTGATTTCTAGATATGGAAGTAGCTGTTTCTTTCAAGTTTTTTTTTAGCGCAAAAAATGCCAAGCTTGAGCCATTGAGCCACCTGTGCACCAGGCACAGGGTAAGTCTAACTGCCAAAGCTTCTCAAAACCAGTTGCAAAAATGGGCCAACGGGCCAATGGTGGCAGATTCTACTTGAAGGATTATCACCTAGTGAAAAACCATGGTCATAAGTCTGTGATGTCTGCGCTTATCCCGTACATATGTATCATGTGAATGTAAATGCAATGAGATATAAATGTACGAAGTAAATAATTACAAATTTAAATGAATATGTAATATGTATATTATTACATATATATATAATATTACATAATCATATATACGTAAGACTACATATATAATAAAATATAATCGATGTTCATAATTTTTGATAATATAATATAATATAATATAATATAATATAATATAATATATTAATATAATATAATATAATAAAATAAAATATAATATAATATAATATATTAATATAATATAATATAATATAATATAATATAATATAGTATACAACCCTGTCTATCCCTGCTATCTACCATCACCCTCAGGGCATTTCAAGCGAGAAACAGGGCCTCACGTGACCGCACCTCAGTCGAAGAAGCAGCTCTCGAAACGATGGCCGTGGAATCCGAAGTATCGAGTGTTGAGAAACCATACTTAGATGGGCCATAGGATTAGCCCATATATCCCAGTTATAATCCATTTATATGGCTATGTATAGATTTTAATTGGGATATATATGGATATATGGGATTATAATTGGGATATATGGCTAAGTGGTTAATAACTGGGGATTTGTTATCCCATATATCCCAATTTGTTTATCCATTAACTATACCTATAGTTAACTAACTCCATGGCCCATCTAAGTAGTGCACATGTTGCATATGACCGCATGGTTTTCCATGACATGCCCTGTCACTGTCATTGACTATCTTCCACTTGAATTCGTCATTTTCTTTTGAAACACGATCCACATCATTGTCACCTCTTTCTTCCTCATTTCTTGTATAGTAAGATCATGCTTTTTCACATCCCAGGGGTTAGTAACTGTCCCATTTTGGGAATATTGGACATCACCTTATAGTAGCCATTATAGACCATATACCTAATGGTTGGGTGATGTTCAATGGGGACATCAGTCATGACCCATGCATCCTGTCATCCCCCAGTTTTTCAGCACCATGTGGCCAAGGTGCAGGAGTTTCACACGACGGGTGGGTTGCGTCATCGCAGACTTCGAGATTTCGGCTTCGCAAAAATCACCAGCGCGGCGAACTGCTCTGAGCCACGTTTTCGCGGTGAAAAATGCTGATCCTTCCCATGAAAATTTGTATTATAAAACTGATAATCTTAATAGTATTACTATGTATTACTAAAATGGCAATACTAGTCCTACTGCAGTTTCAATGGATGAAGAAGCTTATAAACTTATGATCCTTCTGAAACTCAAAGGAAGAGGTCAGAGACAAAGTTTCAGTAGGGCATCCTGCATATAACGAATATAAGGAATGATTGGAGAGTGTGAGGGTTCGGAAACTACAGGTTTCATGTAGGACAAGGCCTAGACCCAAATGATCAGAGGTGGATAATTCTGCTAATTGTTTGATCCTGATAAACATCCATATAATATACTGTAATGCACGATCCACAAGAATGGTCACCTTCCCCAGTACAGTAGCAGTGATTTATGAAATTGTGTATACCCGGATTCTTGGAGAATTTATTTCGTAGCCGTCCTTTATGGTTGCTAATTGGGCATCAAAGCATCCCATTCTACTCGTTCATTGATAGGTATCGCTACTATGTGTAATAGATTTAAGTTCCCGATGAAGAATGTTGGTATAATTCTTGCGATAAACATGGAGTCAACCATAAACTCACTATCACTTATCAATTATGACTACATTTCCATTCTTCAGGGGTAACAAACACATTTGCTGCTTAAATCACCACTAAGATCCGCCAAGTAACCCTATCATTTCTCCATTACACCCCCATATGCTCCATTGAAACCCTACCAATCCCCCTTTTTTCATTGAGTCAATCCCCATTGAAATCCCCATGAATCCACCATTGCTTCACCAACAGCAGCACCTTGGCTCGATCTTGGACCTCGAGACGCAGTTTCTTGAGGCCAGCGAGCACGGACCTCCAGGTAACATACCCATATGCGAACCATTGGTGCTGGAAGATGAATCCCAACAGTTGCCCTAAAAAATGACCAGTTTTGTAGGTAAATATATGCCAGCACCATGGTTCGCATCTGGGATAGAAAAAGCATGAAAAAACTATGGAGATGTGTGGATTTAGGACATGATCTACACATGATCTACAAATGATGCATGTTCCATGTCGATGCTATTTTTTTGAAGGCTACCCGCAAAAAATGGCATGGTTTACTGGTTGACGAACCATTGTCCCAAAAGTGGTAACAAACCCACAAATGCGAAGTTCACAAGCGAAAACTGAGGTGAATGGATAGTTTGATGGGGAGAACAAGTGTGCGGAATGCGCGCACTTTGGAATGTAGATGTTCCTTGGAAAATCGGCCCAATGGCACTGACAATTTGACCCAACAGAATTCATGTTGGTAGGTTTTTGACCAATAAATATCACCAGAGATTGGGACAATCCATAAAAAGATAGACATGTTCACAAACATCCAGCAAAACAACGATAGACATGTTAAGAAACCATACTAATGTATACACTACACTACCCTTTGGTAAACTTTCACATAACTCTAGAAAGATCCACCATGCTATCAATGGGTAAATCCACTATAAATCACCATGCTATCAATAGCTGTGTAACAGTCATTGCCAGAGGGTTTCTAGTGTTTGTTGAAACTGGATCCTTCTCCTCAAAGGTGGTGCGATCACGAAAGTAAGTCACGTTTCTTGGTCCAGGTGTTCCCTCAACGGTCCATAGCCTTGTATATAGTTACTTTATCACCATAAACCCTCCCAGATGCTCCATGTATGGAATATTTACCTACATTTGGGTGATTTTTGGGGCAAATGTTGGTATATAAATATTCCATACATGGAGCATATGGGCCTATAGGCTTAAGCTAGTTATTTCCACCCACTTAGCGGCTTAGCTATCATAAACGGACGGTAAATCCACATCTTTGCTGCTTGACTTGACTCACCATGTTTTCAGAAGGGACAAACCGCTCCAAAACGGGGACGCAAAAAGACGCCCAGCGCCCCGCCTCTTTTCATCAAAGTCCCAGCGCCAGGCTTTTAGCGTGGCATCCCATTTGCCCTCCAAGGCCTAGAGCGATGTAGTTCCAATCCACTTTTGGTGGTCCAGCGGTCTGTCAGACCCACATACATTTGGTCCTACAACTCCATCATTTCTGGTTGGTGGTTGACCTACCCCTCTGAAAAATCATGGAGTTCGTCAATGGGGTTGGGATTATCCATTCATATGAAATGGAAGTCATAATCCAGCCATGTTTGAAACCACCAACCAGCCAGATGTTTGCTGTAAAAAAATACCCACTGTTGCTGGCTGGTTTCCCCTTACTGTTTATATCTGTTTATCCTTGTTCTGGCTGGTTCAATCCCCATGGAAAAAGCTTATTTTCCCATGGAAATATGGGTGTTTTTCTCTGTAACTTCAGTGGGATCCCATGGTTTTTCTTGCTCGGATCGCAAGGTGGTGCGCCCAACCCTTCGGTTGCTTGGTATTAAAAAAACACCATCAACTACGGGATCTGCCATATCCAACAGTGAACCTAGTGAAGAAGACCAACTTAGCTAACGAAAATCCATGAAAAATCTCATGAAAATCCCACTGTTCTTGGTGAAATCAGCATTTTCCTATGGTTTTCCTATGGTTTTCTCATGAAAATCTCGATTTTTGCTGGTGAGTTGGTGGCCCAACTTGGTGCCTTCAAGTGCTCCTTTGCCTCGAAAGTGTCACCTCAAGGGTGCGACTGGCCACTGGCTGGGCCTGTGAAAATCAGGATTTTGAAATGGGCAAAGATGGATAGAATTATCATCTAATGATCCATAGAAATGAATAATAATGATGGATGATGGATAAATAATGGATATAATGTTCATAGTAATAAAAGCAAAACAATCAAATTCTGTAATAATGATCGATGATGGGTGAATAATGGATATAATGTTCATAGTAATAAAAGCAAAACCATCAAATTCTGTAATAATGATGGATGATGGGTGAATAATGGATATAATGTTCTTAGTATGAAAAGCAAAACAATCAAATTCTGCAATAACGATGGATGATGGATGAATAATGGATATAATGTTCATAGATATAATAGTTATACAATCAAATTCTGTAATGATGATGGATGATGGATGAATACTGAATATAATGTTCACAGTGATAAAAGCAAAACAATCAAATTCTGTAATAATGATGGATGATGGATGAATAATGGATAGAATGTTCACAGTGATAAAAGCAAAACAATCAAATTCTGTAATGATGATGGATAATGGGTAAATAATGGATAGAATGTTCATAGTAATAAAAGCAAAACAATCAAATTCTGTAATAATGATGGATGATGGATGAATAATGGATATAATGTTCACAGTGATAAAAGCAAAACAATCAAATTCTGTAATAATGATGGGTGATGGATGAATAATGGATATAATGTTCATAGTAATAAAAGCAAAACGATCAAATTCTGTCATAATGATGGATGATGGATGAATAATGGATTTAATGTTCATAGTAATAAAAGCAAAACACTCAAAAATTCTGTAATAATGATGGATGATGGGTGAATAATGGATATAATGTTCATAGTAATAAAAGCAAAACCATCAAATTCTGTAATGATGATGGATAATGGATGAATAATGGATAGAATGTTCATAGTAATAAAACAAAACAATCAAATTCTGTAATAATGATGGATGATGGATGAATAATGGATACAATGTTCATAGTAATAAAAGCAAAACAATCAAATTCTGTCATAATGATGGATGATGGATGAATAATGGATATAATGTTCATAGTAATAAAAGCAAAAGCAATCAAATTCTGTAATAATGATGGATGATGGATGAATAATGGATAATGCAAGTAATAAAAGCAAAACAATCAAATTCTGTAATAATGATGGATGATGGATGAATAATGGATATAATGTCATAGTAATAAAAGCAAAACAATCAAATTCTGTAATAATGATGGATGATGGATGAATAATGGATATAATGTTCATAGTAATAAAAGCAAAACAATCAAATTATGTAATAATGATGGATGATGGATGAATAATGGATATAATGTTCATAGTAATAAAAGCAAAACAATCAAATTCTGTCATAATGATGGATGATGGATGAATAATGGATATAATGTTCATAGTAATAAAAGCAAAACAATCAAATTCTGTAATAATGATGGATGATGGATGAATAATGGATATAATGTTCATAGTAATAAAAGCAAAACCAATCAAATTCTGTAATGATGATGGATAATGGATGAATAATGGATAGAATGTTCATAGTAATAAAAGCAAAACAATCAAATTCTGTAATAATGATGGATGATGGATGAACAATGGATACAATGTTCATAGTAATAAAAGCAAAACAATCAAATTCTGTCATGATGATGGATAATGGTGAATAATGGATATAATGTTCATAGTAATAAAAGCAAAAAATCAAATTCTGTAATAATGATGGATGATGGATGAATAATGGATACAATGATTCATGTTCATAGTAATAAAAGCAAAACAATCAAATTCTGTAATAATGATGGATGATGGATGAATAATGGATATAATGTTCATAGTAATAAAAGCAAAACAATCAAATTCTGTAATAATGATGGATAATGGATGAATAATGGATATAATGTTCATAGTAATAAAAGCAAAACAATCAAATTCTGTCATAATGATGGATGATGGATGAATAATGGATAGAATGTTCATAGTAATAAAAGCAAAACAATCAAATTCTGTAATAATGATGGATGATGGATGAATAATGGATATAATGTTCATAGTAATAAAAGCAAAACAATCAAATTCTGTAATAATGATGGATGATGGATGAATAATGGATAGAATGTTCATAGTAATACAAACAAAACAATCAAATTCTGTAATAATGATGGATGATGGATGAATAATGGATATAATGTTCATAGTAATAAAAGCAAAACCATCAAATTCTGTAATAATGATGGATGATGGATGAATAATGGATAGAATGTTCATAGTAATAAAAGCAAAACAATCAAATTCTGTAATGATGATGGATGATGGATGAATAATGGATATAATGTTCATAGTAATAAAAGCAAAACAATCAAATTCTGTCATAATGATGGATGATGGATGAATAATGGATATAATGTTCATAGTAATAAAAGCAAAACAATCAAACTCTGTAACAATGATGGATGATGGATGAATAATGGATACAATGTTCATAGTAATACAAGCAAAACAATCAAATTCTGTAATAATGATGGATAATGGATGAATAATGGATAGAATGTTCATAGTAATAAAAGCAAAACAATCAAATTCTGTAATGATGATGGATAATGGATGAATAATGGATACAATGTTCATAGTAATAAAAGCAAAACCATCAAATTCTGTAATAATGATGGATGATGCATGAATAATGGATACAATGTTCATGGTAATAAAAGCAAAACAATCAGAAATTATGTAATAATGATGGATGATGGATGAATAATGGATAGAATGTTCATAGTAATAAAAGCAAAACAATCAAATTCTGTCATAATGATGGATGATGGATGAATAATGGATAGAATGTTCATAGTAATAAAAGCAAAACAATCAAATTCTGTAATGATGATGGATAATGGATGAATAATGGATAGAATGTTCATAGTAATAAAAGCAAAACAATCAAATTCTGTAATAATGATGGATGATGGATGAACAATGGATACAATGTTCATAGTAATAAAAGCAAAACAATCAAAAATTATGTAATAATGATGGATGATGGATGAATAATGGAAAGAATGTTCATAGTAATAAAAGCAAAACAATCAAATTCTGTAATAATGATGTTCATAGTAATAAAAGCAAAACAATCAAATTCTGTAATAATGATGGATAATGCATGAATAATGGATAGAATGTTCATAGTAATAAAAGCAAAACAATCAAATTCTGTAATGATGATGGATAATGGATGAATAATGGATAGAATGTTCACAGTAATAAAAGCAAAACAATCAAATTCTGTAATAATGATGGATGATGGATGAAGAATGGATACAATGTTCATAGTAATAAAAGCAAAACAATCAAATTCTGTAATAATGATGGATAATGGATGAATAATGGATAGAATGTTCATAGTAATGAAAGCAAAACCATCAAATTCTGTAATAATGATGGATGATGGATGAAGAATGGATAGAATGTTCATAGCAATAAAAGCAAAACAATCAAATTCTGTAATAATGATGGATGATGGATGAATAATGGATACAATGTTCATAGTAATAAAAGCAAAACAATCAAAAATTATGTAATAATGATGGATGATGGATGAATAATGGATAGAATGTTCATAGTAATAAAAGCAAAACAATCAAATTCTGTAATAATGATGGATGATGGATGAATAATGGATAGAATGTTCATAGTAATAAAAGCAAAACAATCAAATTCTGTCATAATGATGGATGATGGATGAATAATGGATATAATGTTCATAGTAATAAAAGCAAAACAATCAAATTCTGTAATAATGATGGATGATGGATGAATAATGGATATAATGTTCATAGTAATAAAAGCAAAACAATCAGATTCTGTAATGATGATGGATGATGGATGAATAATGGATAGAATGTTCATAGTAATACAAACAAAACAATTTGTTGTTTTTTTTTTTTGTTTTCCCCCCCCCAAAAAATTCTGTAATAATGATGGATGATGGATGAATAATGGATATAATGTTCATAGTAATAAAAGCAAAACAATCAAATTCTGTAATAATGATGGATGATGGATGAATAATGGATATAATGTTCATAGTAATAAAAGCAAAACAATCAGATTCTGTAATGATGATGGATGATGGATGAATAATGGATAGAATGTTCATAGCCGAAGGAAGTTTAGAAGTGAAACTTCCGACAATATGGACAGTTGAAAAAGCAGAGGTGAGAAGAGTCAGAAGAGACAAGATCAGAAGAAAGAAGATGCAGATGCGCGAAAAGGTAGGAAAGTCGCGATTCGCTGTGTTTTTCCAATGATTTGTGGCTCCGGGGGGTCGAAAAGTAGGCTCGCTAAAGCGGCAGGTGCGGAGCCAGCTGGCCAGATGAGACATGAAAAAGTGCACGCCGTTGTGGCGCGAAGCACATTTCCAAGTCAAAATGGACAAAACACTAGAGGATCGGACCACTTTTGGAAGTTGCGATGTCGAAAAAGTGCACGCCGTTGTGGCGCGAAGCACATTTCCAAGTCAAAATGGACAAAACACTAGAGGATCGGACCACTTTTGGAAGTTGCGATGTCGAAAAAGTGCACGCCGTTGTGGCGCGAAGCACATTTCCAAGTCAAAATGTACAAAACACACCATTCTCGGACCACTTTTGGAAGTTGAGATGTCGAAAAAGTGCACGCCGTTGTGGCGCGAAGCACATTTTGAAGTCAAAAGTGCTAAAAACTGGCGGTCTCGGACCACTTTTGGAAGTTGAGATGTCAAAAAAGTGTCGAAAAAGTGCACGCCGTTGTGGCGCGAAGCACATTTCGAAGTCAAAAGTGTAAAAAACTGAGGGTTTTGAGCCTTTTTTGACGTGAAGATGTCGAAAAAGTAGACACTGATTAACTTAACTAACTTGACTAACTTAACTAACTTCACGACGACAACAGCAACAGCAACAGCAACAGCAACAACAACAGCAACAACAACAACAACAACACCAACCACAACAACAACAACTACAACTACAAGAACTACACGACAACTACAACTACAACTAGAACTACAACTACAACAGCTACAACAACAACAACAGCAGCAACAACAACAACAACAGCAACAACAACAACAACAACAACAGCCACAGCAACAGCAACAACAACAACAACAACAACTACTACAACTACAACTACAACTACAACTACAACTACAACTACACAACAACTACAACTAGAACTACAACTACAACTACAACAACTACAGCTACTACAACAACAACTACTACTACTACTACTACAACTACAACCACAACAACAGCAACAACAACAACAACAACTACTACAACAACAACTACTACTACTACTACTACAACTACACTACACAACAACTACAACCACACAACAACTACAACTACAACAACTACAACTACAACTACAAAACAACTACAACTACAACTACAAAACAACTACAGCTACAACCATATGACTGCAACTACACTACACTAATTACATTACACCACAGCTACAACTCCACTACGCTACAACTACAACTACAGTTGCAGTACATCACACTACATCCAGCAGTTGTGGGTGAGGTGACCACTGCAACCATTGCAACCATTCCAGCAAACACAACTCCAACCACCTTTCGGTCAATCAGTGGCTTCGCTCTGCCATCCCTGATTCGCAACAACCAACTTCTCCTATAGGTTTCCTATTTTTGAAACTTCCGCCACCGCCTTGCGCGGTACTACTGGTAATAAAAGCAAAACAATCAAATTCTGTAATAATGATGGACCATGAATGAACAATGGATAGAATTTTCATAGTTATAATGGTCCTACAATGAAATTGTGTAATGATGATGGATGATAGATGGATGATAGATGAATAGATGATAATGAATATCGGGTATGATTACTTCTGGAAGAAGCGGTAGTATATGATATGATGACAATATACAGTAGTAAGAATGGATTTTTTAATCCAGGATTTGGTCGGAATTCACTGGGGATAGAATGAGATATATAAGCCATTCATATGCTGAAAATGGAGCACCCCCCAATTTATGACAATCCCCAGTGGATGGAATGGACTACACTGTGTGACAAACCCAGATTTTTTGAGATTTGTTTTGTCTGCGTACAGGTGTTTGACTCTGTATTTGCGGTGTACAAAACTACGGATGTTCATCTGCACAAACATTGACATACATATATAGAACGGCATACCCTCTGGTAAATTGACATAGCTATTGAAAATGACCATTGATAGTGGATTCACCCATTAAAAATGGTAATTTTCCATAGTTATATTAGTTTACCAGAGGGTAATTGTAGAACTTTGGACCCTGGAGTCTTTCCATTCCAATCCGATGTTCAAGGGATCAAATCAAGGTATGCACTTGAGAACAACCTTGAGTCAGCGCTCCGTCATCTCCCACTGCAAACGGCGATTGCAAGGGATACCGTTAATGAGGGCCTATGTCTGATGTTCCGCATTGGATTTCAAGGATATCTTTATTTTGGCGGTTAGAGAAACTTGGCGAACTGACACATTCAGAGTGCGATCAACTGTCATGTTTCAAACCCTGGTTTCACGAATAGAACAATCAGTGCCAGCTCCTTCTCCTGCATCTATCCCAGTACTGCGCGTGTTCCAAGGGTTCATTAAACAGCAAACACTTCCAAACCTTTCTGAAAAATCCACATCTTCAATTTCAAAAAGAGAAATGACCGCCCAATTTATCATGTGCTGCGGAAAACAGTTGGTAGCTCCAACTGGCTCCAACTGGCTCCCCATGTCACGTGGGAACGAGCCACCTGTGACCAACAGCCCCCGCGGATGATACTCCAACAGCAGCATGGCCGGATGGTGGCAGTGCTGTTTTTAGGTCCAGTGGTCCAGTTTCGGGTGGTGAATCTTCGATCCAAATTCTGGGAACCAGTTGGCAGCGAAATCGTTTTTCAGAAATCCACTTATGGCAAAAAAGGGACGCAATAACACAACAAAAAAAAAACTGAGGTTTTTTGCCAGGTGCCGGATACTTGATGGATTTCATGGATCCTTGTGATATCCGATGCATGAAGCCACTGGCAGCTGCGAGGATTTCATGCGAAACTCCAACAGGTGGTGTCCCCCCTCAGGTATAAGTTACGTTGGTTTATGTATATAATATATAAACACATATAACTATATATATATATATACATATGATGCATTTATATATATATTATTGTTAATGTTATTCTTATAATAGTAATATATATATATATAATATATGCATGTAATATATAATATGTAATATATTGTGTATATATAATATAATATATTAATTGTACATGAACTTTAGTTAACGTACTTATAAGCTTAGCTCTTTCCGCCACTCGCCTTCTCGCACTTTCTTGTCTATTCTCCTAGCCCGACTTTAGACATTTGTCAAATCATGGGACGAAAATCGGGTGTGACCCAAATCCTATCCAATAATGTCCTTTTGGTATACCATCTATCATCAAACAAACCTGTTGTTCAAGGGGTAAACCAACCAAACCCCTCTATGAATCAACCAACCAATGGGAATTTGGGACATCTATGCTCCTATCATTTTGGGGTGTTTCATGGTGTTTAATGGTATTTCATGGTACATATGACCAGCCCTTTGATCACAGCCAAGGTTCCCACGTGGCGGACGTCGCTTTCCGGGTCCCGAACGAAGGCGCCGCGTCCGCGACGTCGGCACCGGTGCCCGCCGGGCGACAGAGGAGGCCCATCATCTGGGACGGGTGACTGCCCGTCACGGTGAGATGGTTGGTAGATGATTAATGGAATTATATAGGGTTTATATAGGGTTTATATGTTTATATAATGGGATATCATAAATTGAAGGGTGACTATGGGATATATTGGGATATGTTATTCGGATATATTGGGATATAATGCTGGTTGGTGGTATACCTACCCCTCTGAAAAATATGACTTCGTCAGTTGGGATGATGAAATTCCCAATATATGGAACAAAAAATGTTCCAAACCACCAACCAGGTTGTTATAATCCCACTATTCACAGTGTTGTCCATAGGAATCCTAATAGTTCCCACCTGGTGCAGGATTTCTTCCATTCACCGTATGTTGGTTTAACAGTTATTACTTCTCCAAAGCTGAAATCTAAGGGAATGGCTGGGAACCGCCATGGAAATTAGTGGGGACACAGCATAAAAATCATCCAAAAGTTTTGGTTTCTTGAAGTTGGATGAGTTTTGGGGAACTGGCCCAAATTGGGAACATTCAGTGGGGAGATAGAACGTAAGGAACGTAAGGAATCGCCTCACGGCTTTCATTGAGTTAGACCCTCACCTGAAAACATCGCAGTTGTTCATCGAAGTTTTCTTAAACTGTAAGAAATCCGAGAAAAATCCACGAAAAAAAATATTGAGTTTTTTTCTAACTTCTATCTTTCTAAGGTCTTCTCTAGGTCAGTCCCTGCCTCGTGTGTAATGGCCTTGCGGCGACCTTCCCCAAGCTGCCTCGCTGGGAAATTTGTGATAGGAAAATCAACGAATTGACGACATTTCCAGCAAGCCATGGAGCTGATTGAGGCTAGGACTTCAAGATCTGTTTTATTTGCAGGTTGTAATTCATCAGTATATTCCCACAGGATCCATGTGTGGTATATATGCTAACATTTGGGGTATATTGATGGTAAATGTTAGCATATATACCATACATGGATGTTTGTCTTCAGGTTTCATTACACCCAAGCTGGTTTATCTCCAGGCTGTTGAAATCCAACACCTGCCAACTTCGTAGGTGCGAAACACTATTTCCTATCTGGCTGAAGTTCAAGGCGCTGCCTCTCATTCATTCCTTCTGCAGTGTCAGCAACTACTTATAACTGGCAACATGTCTGTTCGGACATAAATCCATCATTGATCTATATTAATCCCTAAGAAAGATCAAAAACAGTGATATTGATTTCGGTTCCAAGTTGTTTTTCGCTTGCATATTGGTTTAATTGTTCATGCTGAAATCTCCAGATGCCAAATGTTATGGGTGTGTCTGAAAATATTTCGTACCCCAAAAAAACAAATTGTTTATCATTATCATTACCTTCTCTTAGAATTGCCATTTGGGGCTGTATACCTCATCTTCAGACAACCCCATATTAAAACCATTTAAACCCACCTCCAGCCGCAACCCGAAAGGGGCCTTCGCATGGCGAAGAGGCTTCGCCTTGAGCTGCAGTTGATTTCGTTTTTCAATGGGGATTTAAGCATCAAAAAAGATCAAACGTGAAGCTGATTCAATCGGAAAAGGTCAAAATCGAACCAATATGATAATTAACATATTGGTTCTTGGAACGGATTCCCAATAAATAAGGAACATCATATTTCCACCAATAAAACATCATTTTGAACATCGGGAACCAATCAATCGTTTGATGATTTTTTGGAGGAAACATGAGGCAACCGATTCTTTTGGGTTCTGCGGTTATCCCAATATTTGGAAACATCAGAGATATCAAGCCGAAAACGAAGCCAGGTGCGTAATCCACTGAAACGCTCACAGATGTGGGAAAAAAAAACATCACCTAATAGGGAAACGACCAATGCCAGTCGTGTTCCAGTTGTCAATTAATAGCCTGAAATCTCTCCGATCTCTATAAACGGGTCATGGAGTTGGATTCATGGTTAGTTGCTAGTTGGATTATGACATGTTTTAATCCACTGAATAGCCAATTCAAATCGGATTTCACCCACTTCCAGTGTCATCAACCGTGACTAGCTGGAAAATTCCCACGGTAATTGAAGGTTTATGACTGGTAAATGATCTATCAAAAGTGTCCATCACGCCCCGATTCGAGAAGGGTACCCAGTCACCTAACTCCATGGGCCGGACCTGATTTTGACTTCATCTCAAGCCGAAAAGTGACCCAAGTCCCAACGTTTCTTCATTACCCTCTGGTTATGTCAAAATAGCTATTGAAAATGGTCATTGATAGTTGATTTTCCCATGAAAAAATGGTGATTTTCCATAGCTATGTTAGTTTACCAGAGGGTATGTTTAATGAAACACCAACAAGATACCAACAACCACTTTATGGGCGGATTTTGACAGTCTGACCATCTGACCATCTATTCTTGTGGTCACTGAACTGGATTTGCTATTGGTCTTATATGAAATTCCGGAATTACTTTACTTCGAGTGATCCCCACCCTGGCACTTATTTGTCATAGTTTCTGACATATCATTATCTGGATATATATATATATGTATATATGGTATAATCTTCTGACATTCTATCTGGCATTCTATTCTGACATTCTATCTGACATCTATTCTGACTTCCTGTCTGGCATCTATACTGACATTTTCTCTGGCATTCTATCTGGCATTTTTTCTGCCATATGTTCTGGCATGCTATCTAGCATTCTGTCTGACATTCTTTTCTGGCATTCTATCTGGTATTTCTTCGGACATTCTTTGTGGTTGAGGTCCGGTGGGAAACACTCTGATCCGGAGCTCGCGGTTGAGGTCCGGCGGGGAACACTTTGATCCGGAGCTTGCGGTGGAGGTCCGGAGTGGAACACTTTGATCCAGAAGTTGCTGTTGGGGTCCGGCGGGGAACACTGCGATCTAGCGCTTGCAGTTGAGGGTCCGGCGAGAAGCGGAGGAAGGAGGAAGGAGGAAGGAAGGAGGAAGGAGGCGGGCTGGCTAACATAAAATCTAACAATCCTCACCTGACAGGTGGGGAAAAAACTCCACTAGTTTTGAGGTGAACAGGGGCTTTGCGAGCATCCATGAGAGTTTGAAACCTCTGGCAAACTGATTGTGGTCGAGTACAACTTGAATTACCAAGAATCAAAGATGGCAATAGAATGCAATATCTGTTTAGATGGTAAATCAGGAAGTCCCTATCTTCACATCTGACCTACCACCTAAATCATCCACATCAAAAACCCCCTGAGACGACAAAAACCCCAACAAAACCCCTCGGCCTGGTCCGGGCAACCAGGGGATCCACCTTTGGAGCTTCCGGAGCTTCCACTTGGAGGTCAACACCTGGTGTCCACATCTGGCTGATGATACCCATATGCGAACCATGGTGCTGGAATATGAATCCCAACATTTGCCCTAAAAAATGACCAGTTTTGTAGGTAAATATATGCCAGCACCATGGTTCGCATCTGGGATACTCTGCTTTCAGAAAAAGTCGTTGCATAACAGCTCCAAATGATTTCAAATGCCCCGAAAAAACAGCCAAATTTCTATTGACCCAAACCAAGCTTTGTTGACCCAAACATGTTCAGACACGCCCCCTATGGGATTGATGGGGTGTTACTTCATCCCACCATCAGGTCACCATCATGAATGGCATTCCTCAAGAAACGGCTATTGGCACACATGGGTTTGTCCGTCACAGGATTGAAGAAGCGACAAACATCGAGATTTCCCCTACGGAAAAATGAATTACCTGGTAATTTAACATAGCTATTGAAAATCACAATTTATAGTGAATTTTCCCATGAAAAATGGTGATTTTCCATTGTTATGTTAAATTACCAGAGGGTAAACATGATTTTAACCATGAAAAATTGTAGATTTAAACAACCCCAAATCCGGAGTTCACTCACAAATACTGCCAGCATCATGACCTCCATCACCCTGTGCTTCCCCCGACCTGCCGGGCCATGTTCCTCATGTTCCCCTTCCGGCTTCGCCGGTGCCAGTTTCGGCTTCCTGCGACGACAAAATCATGGGATTGCTTGGGAAAAAAGTGTTGGGAAGGCGAATTCATCCCGAAACAATGGTTGGGAAGGAATATCTCAGGATTGTTTGGAGAAAGAATGAACATCATCGCGAAAAAA